TCTCTCTCTCTCTCTCTCTCTCTCTCTCTCTCTCTCTCTCTCTCTCTCTCTCTCTCTCTCTCTCTCTCTCTCTTCCCCCTACTCCCCCCCCCGAAATCTCATGCTTGTTGGATGCCTGTCTGGTCCCCCCCAACGGACACGTCCTTTTTTTCCTTGTATGTCTGTTGATGAACCTCAGATGTAGAAAGCAGTGCCTTGCAGGCACATCAGTGGAGAGTGGCAGCTCACTGGACAATTGCCGACTCTCGATGGACAATTGTGGCAGTGGAAAGTGCTGAATAAATAGCAAAAACACGACGAAAGTGTGCAATACTGTTTAAGAGAGAGAGGGGGAACCAGCACAGCAGGTTGAACCTCGACCCCAAAGTCAATGCGCAAATATGGTTTCTCAAAGTCCAGCACCTTTATCTCACCTCGTGGGCCGAAGCCGCGAAGCATTTCGCTGCTGCGGTGATCTTGTGGGTAGGTGGCTGGATGGTTCTTACCTCTGGTTGAAGATTATCCCTCCTATAAACTACCGAGTCCCCATCAGAGATAAAAACCACCCACCTACCTGCTGTGAGAAGGAAAGGCAAGCTGTGGCATACTGCGCACCACACGTGCCTGCAGGGCCCGACCGGGCGGAATAAGGGCCCTCCACGCCCTGTGTGTCGTTTCAGCCTGAAAGCCCAGAAAGGAGGGCCAATGTTTAGGCCCTCTTAAAGTCGACCCTTCCTGAAACTTAGGCGCCAGACCAGGGATCAGCGCAGGCCACTTTTAGGCCCGTTTCAAGACAACCCTTCTTTTGAACGTCAGAGCCAGGGTCTGGCGCGATTCGGCATTGGCAAGAGCGGTCTCCCAGCCGGACGAGCACTACATATCGCTGGTCCGCCCAGGAGGCTGGAAGGAGGAGGAGGAGGCAGTTGTGAGGAGGCAGTCTTCAGGATTCGGCAGCAGAAATCTGCAGGAGCGCTGCAGTAGTAGTAGATAGCGATAGGAGTAGTCTTCAGCGCTGGGCGCGGCTAGGCTCTTAGAGTAGCGCTGGGAGAGAGGGAAGAGGCGGAGGCCAGGGCTTGCCTGGGAGGTCACCGGTGGCGCCATAGCTCCAGCTTCGTCTTCGATGTACCTGCAACAAGGCGCCACCTTCACAGGTTACATGTCAAAGTGGCTTTGTGTACCATTATGCTTTTGTTATGTTAATCGGGTTAAACCACTAGTAGCTTTGCCGCTTGGGAAAATAGCTGGCCTCGGGTAGGCGTCCGACCATTTCAGAGGGCCGAAACGAAATGACTGCCGCCGACCAGATTTATCAATGGCAGTCGTCGTCGGGGCCGACCTCCGACTATTCAGAAGTTCGGGAAAACTGCCAGTTTTCCCTATTTTCCCACGCGGGAAAGGTACTAGTGGTTTAACCATATTTATTTAATTTTATTACCATCATAGGTCTTTGGGACTTCATTTCATTTTGGGTAGATAATCGATTGTATTTTATTTACTTATTAAGTTTTCTATTGATTCATCTCGAAAGAGACGTAAGAATCAAATGGCACTAAGTCTGTGCATGTTAAGTTTTGAGCGGAGACGGAACTTCGTAGTAATAAAATAAATACGCGCAGCTCACTGAATGCCATAAAGGCTGCGCGTACTCGGGCTAGGTTGGTGGTGATTGAGAGAGAGTTCTTCTTCTTCCTCTTCTAAGTCCACCATCTCTCCCTCACCCTCTCGCCACCTGAATGACAGACTACGAGAGAGAGAGAGAGAGAGAGAGAGAGAGAGAGAGAGAGAGAGAGAGAGAGAGAGAGAGAGAGAGAGAGAGAGATTTGAGACTTTGGGATGTTGACAACATTTGGATATTGACGAGGGACTGTTTGGGATCGATACCAGAGACACTTGTGTGACGACATTCCCATCTTCTCCCTCTTCTTCGTCTGATCCCTCTCCTCCTCGTCTGTGTATGGTTGGAGCCTGGCGCATTCTTCCTGTGTGTAGCGCCAGGCCCCTTCACACTTTGCGATGATGATGATGTATGTTTGGTCTGCATTGCGACATTGATTGGTCTGATCATTGGTATTTTCGCCTTCCGCTGCGCTATCCTCTACTATGTGAGAGCGGTCGGTTCTTGTTCTGGTCTGCACCCTTACGGTATGCAACACACGCTGACAGTTAATCGCCCGAGTAACAGAGCAATCAATGCTGGGCAGGGGCCCTTCGGTGGGTAATTTTTAACTCCGACGAGGATTCGGTGGGTAGTTTTTACCTCCGACGAGGATTCAGCACCCTGTAGGAGGGGTATCCTTAAACCACCACTACCCCCGCCAGCATAAATTTGACTTTCCTGGCCTTACGGACCGAGTTCTTAAGGGGGGGGGGGAGGAGCACCGGCAGGCGCAGGCGGGTCAGGTCCAAGGGTTTTCAAGCACGAACTTTGGCGATTTTTCGCGCTCAGAAGAATTGACGAAAAAATCTGAGAATTTGAGATCCTGTAGATTAGGTTGTGATCCTTCCAGGAAAATTTAAAAACAAAAAAATGGAAAAACGAAATTTAGACCGTGAAATGAATGCCTTGCTGTTTCGTCACATTTTCCATTTTTTCCACTCTACCAAGTATGGGTTAACGGGAAAAGTACCCCAACTTTCGCATTTTTTTACGATCAGAAGGACGAGTCAACAACTCTGGAAATTTCAGGGTCCGTAGATTTTGTCGTGATCTTTATAGGAAAAACATTAAAAAAATAATAATAAAAATCATTTTATTTTTTTTAACAGCGAAATAAATTGCAGGGGCAATTCGACACATTTTCCAATTTTGCCACTCCTCCGCCAGTTCCCCCCACGTGCTATCGGTAGCCCTCATGGACCTGTGCTACCAGTCCCCCTTAATTTATTATGACGGCGGGGGTAGTGGTGGTCTAATCGGAGGTAAGAACCGTCCACTCACCCACCCACCCACCCTGTTTTGTCTGCAAGTTATTGCTTTCTAAGTTTCGTCAACAGACAGACATCCAACAAGCATGAGATTTGTGTGGAGAGAGAGAGAGAGAGAGAGAGAGGGAGAGAGAGAGAGAGAGAGAGAGAGAGAGAGAGGTGGGGGGAGAGACAGAAGACGACACAGTGTTGACATATACGTAGCAGAAGTTTTCTTCCGTTCTGGTCAAGTCTTCGTTCTCAGCGAAGTCTCATTCCACACGTCCAACAAGCATGATCTTCCACACACACACACAGAGAGAGAGAGAGAGAAGGAGGAGGGGGGGAAGAACACAGCGGTGTTTTTGTGGTCCTCTAGGGTAGCGCAGCACAACCCCGCCTTCAAAAAAAAAAAAAAAACACTACTTGCTGTGTTTTTGTGTCGCCCGGTTTCGCCGGGCGGACCCCCCTGGGCCCAACTGGCCAGGGCCCGCCAGGCCGGCCATGCCCGGCCAGACGACGGCCCAGCCTAGAAAATAATTAAAATTATAATAATTTACTGATAGGAATTGTTACATGACATTACAATCACAATGACAAACAATTGAAAACTTCAAAACTCAAAATAAAATTCGATAAATGGGAAACCGCAAACAGAAACACCAAACATCCAAGCAAGCAAGCAAGCACGCCATAGCTCATCTTCAGCAACGGAAGACCGACCAGTCTTGACAAATCATCAGCAAAGAAAGAAAGGAAGTTGCATCATGAATATTATATTATCAAAGGCGTCCGAGAAAAAGTCGAGGTTAATTTACCATTTTGAAATTTGAATCTTTGAGAAAGAAACGACAAAAGTTCAGTCACAAACTCTCAAAAGAGCTACAGCACAATCGAGTCCGCATCAAAAACCAAAGGCACAAAGGGCAAAAGGAGGGTGGGAAGGGGGCAACGGAAAGGGAGCGGCAAGAAGGGGGCAATGAAAAGGGGGGAAGGGGAAGAGGAAGGGGAAGGGGAAGGGGAAGGGGAAGGGAAAGGGGAGGGCAAGGGGGTATAGGGGGAGGAGGAATGTTCATGCAAACCTGATGTCAAAGCTCTGCACAGCAAGAGGCAACAGAAGGCTCGGAAGCACTCCGCAAAAGCAGAAACATTAGAAATTAGAACTGAGAAAAATCTGAAAAAATAAAAAAGGAACGTCCACGATCCCCCACAAGAGGACAAGAGTGTCAAGCTTCATCGAAAAACAGTTGGAAGATTGCCAAATATTAAAATACCCAAAACAAAAGTAAGAAAAGCGAAGCCTAGTTAACGTTGCCCAAACTCCCTAAACCTGAAACGCGCCCTAATCACTAGAGAACCAACCACCCGCCAACAACGCACTCGCAGCTGTCAGCTGCACTTTCAACCTGCAGACGCATTCTCGGAGCTCTTGCTCCTTCAACATGTATTATGTACGTGCGGCCACCCATACAGTCACAGCTGCTAGCTGAAGAACCACCAGTGCAGAAACACGCATGATACGTAATTCCTCTCTCCTCTGTCTCCTAGGCATAGCAGAAGGCCAGTCTCAAATCGTCAACACAACGAGCGTCTGTCTCTCTCTCTCTCTCTCTCTCTCTCTCTCTCTCTCTCTCTCTCTCTCTCTCTCTCTCTCT